TCCTACCCGCCGTGACGGACACCCGCTCCCGCCTTACCCGTAGCGGGGGTCCAGGGCGATGGCACGGGGGTGCTCGATGTCCCCCGCCAGCAGCGTGGTCCTCATGGTGCCGTCCAGCTTGGCCACCTCGATCTGGTCCAGGTTGCTCTCCACCCAGTAGATGTTGCCAGCGATCCAGTCCACGGCCAGGCCCTCGGGGGTGGCCAGCCCGTATTGGATGACCACTTCGAAGCTGGTCAGGGCTGCAGGAGCAGCACGGGCAGTGTCAGGACTTGTCCGGGACGGGGTCCCTACATGGTGGCAGGGACAGACCCCACACGAGACCAGCGTCTCCCCAAAACGCAGCTCGAGGCCCAGAGGCCTCAGCCCTTCCCGAGCACCAGGGCAGATCTCCTGGGTTCCCCAGCTGCGGGACCATGGTGCTGGGCTTTGTGCTCCCATCACTGCTAGGGAAGTGTTGGGAATGCTAATTAACCCCCTCACAGCGAGCAGCCTTGGGAAGCAGAAACGTATCGTCATGGGGCTGTCCAGCCGCCCCGGGCGCCTTTCTCACGGCCTGTCCCATAAAGGCGCCGCGGCAGCTCCGCCCCGCCACTCACCCCCATTCTCCAGTAGCTTCCCCCGGTAGATCTTGTCCTCCACTACGTCGGTCCAGTAGAGCGAGCTCTGGTTGAGGTGGAAGTCCAGGGCGATGGTGTTGCGCAGGCCGGGCACCAGGACGCTGTAGTCGCCCCGGTGCAGGTCGATGCGGCGGATCTCGTGGCGGTTGGAGAAGATGATGAAGGGCTTGAAGGGATCTGGGGGGGTGAAGGGCAGCGTCATAGCAGGGGCAGAAGAGGCAAGACCCACATGGGACTAATGTCCTCGTGTCCCCCAGGGGTGTCCCTGGTCCCACACACCCTCCTGCCAGCCCCGCCATCGGCATTGCCTCTCCCCATGCTGGGGACAGCCTGTGTGGCCAGACCCTGAGCGCGCCTCATGCCCCGTGGGTGCCCCCGCCACGTCCGCTGTCCCCCGGCCGCGTCATGCGCTCCCCACGCACCCAGGCTGCGGCAGCTCTCGCCGTCGGGCTCCAGCATCCAGCCCTCGTAGCAGGAACACTTGACATTGTACTTGTCCTGCTCGCACTTCTGGCTGCACTTGAGGTGCTTGGCGCAGTAGCTCTGGATTTGGCAGGTCTTGTTGTCGGAGCCCAGCTCCATGCCCAGCGGGCAGGAGCACACGATGCCCTCGCCGGGGGGCACGGGGCAGTTGTGGCTGGGGCAGCCCCTGG